TTTTTTTTTTTTTTTTTTTTTAATGTTTTGCAAGTAGAAGGAAAGTTAAACAAGGCACACTAAAAAAAGTAAGGTGCAGAAAAATCTCAGGTATTGTCAGCCAAGTTAATGGAAGACCCACCCAGTTTTTATAAAAAAATAAAATAAAATAATTTGTCTGTGAGGTTTTTTTTATTCTTAGTTTTATTTAAAACACTGAAATTAATTTGTGGGGTTTCTAATTTTGATAATCTGCCTGAATTATCTGTCTCTCTATATCTATATATTATTTGCAGCTAAATTATTTAAAAATCACATCAGTTATAGGCTGTAGGGCTTTAAACGATCCGAGCTGAACTCGAGCTCGAGACCTTAATGAATGGAGATGAGTTCGGCTCGTTAAATAAACGCGCCTAAAATCGAGCTCGAGCTCGGCTCATTAAGGCCTTGAGCTCGAGCTTTAGCGAGCCAATCTCGTACTTTAACAAGCCGTACTATAAAAAATTAGATAAATATTCTAAGAATAAATTTGTCAATAAAAAACTAGTACAATATTAGTATATTATATAAGTGTTATTTGTTAATAAATTTATATTTAAAATTAAAGACATTTTTTTATTTTTAAATAGATTTTTTGATAAACTGTATTATTATTTATTTTATTAAAATGGTACACAATATTTATATGACTTATCATCTTATATTATAATAATATCTTTTAATATATATCATATAACTACTTTGTAGTTAAATTAATTTAAAATAATATAATTTAATTTTTATTATAAAAATAAAAATAACTAATTATTTATTTGTATATGCAGTATAGATGTCATGTAGAAATTGATCAGAACATGATTATATATATTATATTTAAAAAACTGATAAGTAAAAAAATTTATTAATTTTGAAATCTACTTATAATTTAAGTTAGTATTTTCTTTTTTCTAATTTAAAAAGTAAAAGATGAAGAAAAAAAAAAAGACGAGTGAAAAAATATGCCATAAACAAAATATCAAATGCTATTAAAACATAATTAATGTTCTTAAAAAAATCACAAATATCTCTTATTTTGTGAATATTCCAAGCTTAGTTATTTTTGGATTTGAAGAATTTAAAATTAATCCAAACCAGATGACAAAATATAAAAATTTACCACATGAGATTCAAACGTATGCGAGTCTGTCTAGTCTGTCACTTAAACTTAACACATTTAAAAATATTATATACGCGATTGAAAAAAAAACATTAAATTCATTGCATTATCTTTTTATAATGTTAGCATTGTTTATGGATATTTTATGCATTACATTTTGTAATAGTAGTGAGAATGTATTCAAATATATCGGATTTGATGTAATAAATGCATATTGAACATGTGTCAGTACATAAAATTATAAATTGCTCCATAAGGAGCCATCCGATAATTCCATAGAATTTTTATCAAATATAATATGAAAAATAATAGTAAAAATGTGGTATGGTAATAAAAATTAACCAAACCAAATCAAAACTAACAATAAATGTCTATTGGACATCTGTCAGTACATAAAGAGCCATTCGATATGTCAATAGCATTTCTATCAAATATATAATACGAAAAATAATAGATAAACACTTATTTTTCTGAAAATCTTAATCTATAATTATATTAAAAGCTATACCATTTACTAAATGTAGTATGTAGAATAGTCAACTCTAATTAATGATTTACTATTTTTATCAAGCATTTATTTAATGAATCTAATATTTTTGGTATGCAAATCAAATTAGCATTTAATTAGTTTCTAAAATATTGGGTATGCAATATTATGAATATCCATGTAGTTCCTAAAATGTTGGTATGCAATACGTAAAAGAAGATTTTTTAATTTTTTTAAATATAAAATATTGTAACACGTAAAACTATTCCAGTTATTTTTTTATTTTATTTTACATATAAAATCTAATCAATATTTAATGCATCCTACAAAATTAGATTTAGTTTAATTCTCCATACAATTGGTTGTAACTTTTTCAGTTGTACATTATTTATTTATTTATTTTACACTTTTAAATTAATGAAACTCTCCGAAAATACCAAATCAAATGATTTATGAAAGTTATTGTTTACAATTTTAAATCTATATACCCAGCTTAAAAAACTCATTGCATAGATATGGACGAGTTTAAGAAAATTTCATAACTCAACTTATAAAATTTCATCCATCTCTCATCTACCGTAACAACTTTAAACGTAAATAAATAAAAGTCTAATTACTACTATAAATCCATTATCTATCTAATTTTTTAAAAATATAAATTTCACCTGTCTAATTTCTATTATTTTAGATACTTTTAAATATTATTTGTATAAATTTTTTTACACGTTTGTTGTCTCTATATATATACAT